GAGAGAGAGAGAGAAAGAGAGAGAGAGAGAGAGGGTTTAAGCAAGAGTTGTTTTTTTTGCCCTTGCAACACAATAAGGTCATAGGAGAGAAACAAACACAAAAAAGGAGGAGAGGCCAGGACGATAGATGTTTGATAGGATAGAAGGAACAAACCACACAAGAGCACCCGCCAACCACCCGCAAGCATGAACGTGCATCCAAACACACCAATAGATAGAAGACAAAATAAACGTTACAAAAAAGCAACAACTCGAAAATGAAACAAATTAAAAAAATAGCACAACAATTTTCAAACTGTGTTTCAGAAATAATGACCAGAGTATTAAATGAGCTCATTAAGTTTATGTCACAAGACAATTATTGTGTGAGTTTTCAAATTTTGTTGTAATATTACTATTATCTATCACTTCTGCTACCCAGTGAAGCGTCGTTGCTAAACACTGGAGACGTTGGTGATGAAGACGCAACCGTTGGGGTCCGAGAACTGGCCCATGGCAGAGAGGCTGCAGATCTTGGAGGAATAAAAATATAGAGACGAGAGGTCACGGGTGGGAATAGAAGATTAAAAAAGACAAATTTTTAGTAAGAGTTTTACGGCACTTGCAGCATGGCACAATGAGGTCATAAAGTGCCGAAGATTAGAGGTGTTACAAGAAAGCAACAAAAACACCCAAAAAAAAGAATGAGAGAAAGTTTAGTTTTAGTAAGCGTTTTACGGCACTTGCAACACAATAAGGTCATATTAGTGCTGAAGATTAGAGGCGTTACAAGAGAGCAACAAACACAAAAAAGGAGGAGGAGAGATAAGGAAGATAGCTTTTGATAGGAAAGAAGGAGCAAACGACACCAGAGCACCCGCCAACCACCCACAGGGAATAGAAGAGAATGATATGCAGATAAAACATGTACGCACACATACACACACACATACACACACACACATACACACACACACACACACACTCACACACACATGCAAACACACACACACATGTGCGCGCGCATGTAAGCACACGTGCATAATATTATAGAGAACAATAAAGGAATACAATATCCCAGCAGAAAGACAGGGTATCCGAGTTTAACTTCCATCAACGATAGAACCAAGCCAAGCGAGGCTTATAAACTCCTCCCAAAAATCCAATTATCACAGAACTCCAATTTTGGGATGCTAACTTGGGTCATCTGCTCCAGAGTTAAGCATGATACCAACTGTGCTAACGGCACACCCAAAGTATGACAGCTCGTAGACTTTTCCTGACGTTGTCATCATCATCATCATCATCATCATCATCATCATCATCATCATCATCATCATCATCATCATCACCAATGTCTTTCTCACCCTTGAAAAGGGCATAGGCCGCTAACACTTTCCACATTCCTCTATCCCGAGCTAGCTTTTTGACACTGCCCCACGTCTTTCCCCATTTATCTACACGTCATTGTCTGTGTCTCTCCCCCAGGCTCTACATGGACTTCCCTTTGCTTTCTTACCTTGTGGACTTCAGTCAATACTTCTTTTGCTACGCAGCTGCCTGACTTCCTGAGAGAATGACCTTGTGTTCACGTTCATTTCAAAAGAATGTGGAGAGTTATTCACTAGCACGCCAACATCTGTAGTGTACCGGTTAGGCGCTTCGCTGTTGCAACCACGAAAATCGAACGCCAGTCCGAGTGGAATAATTTTTTAAGCGAGTATCTTGGTCTTTCTGCTGGAATATTGCTTGTTTCCCTCTCAGCCCGGGCTGGACAAGACAGGCAGGGTCAGAAGCTAGTTATTAAATTATCTTAAATTGTGTCTATGGGAGTGTAAAAACACCTACATTCATAAGAATAATGAATATTATAATACTATTTGTACATCGTACTTGTATTTTGGACACGAATCTCCCCTCTTGCCCCCCAGCAGTAATGGGTACCTTACTTAGATTTGGGGAAGTAAAGGTGGCGTGGAAAGGAACTGGCCACCCTACCACAATATGCCAAAGGCCCAGGAAGTTGTCTCACTAACAAGGGAATCCCCAATGTCCGGTTCGAAAGCGCGAACAGCTTTTACATGTGTAGGGTGCACGAGCATGTATTCCTGAAATAAATAGACTTTGGCTCCTACTAGGTGTTTGGACCAGAGCAATCAGCATCAAAACCCAGCGTATCGGCAAATGGGTTGTTTGCAGAGTTCTGAAAAAGACACGCCTACCTAGTGCTGTCCAGTCGTGGGGAGACATTAAAGATCTTGTCAAGTTGTTAGTATTTGGGCGTTTAATCGTCTGCCTGCTCTGCATGGTTCCCAGGAAGCCGAGAATGTTTCTGAGTATTCTAGAATCTGCTGAGGTGATACTGTTTTGTAAAGAGCAAAGAGCATGCTAGAGGGCATGGGTATGCTCTGTATAATTGCAATTACAGTAGAGCCACCTCTAACAGCCACATACTCAAGACATTCCCCTATACAAATGACTGCTTCTTCCCCCCTCCCCCCCCCCCCCATATATATTTATTAAAAAAGAAAAAAACGAGCAAATAAAAAAAAAATCATCCTCCTTATTTCGATGCATTTAAAATAAAACTCATGACTCTGTCCAAAACATCCACCTGTCTAAAACATCCACTTTTACATTGGGCGGCCGTCTTGGACAAATTTGCCTGTATGTATTATCATAAAGAAATTCGAAACGAGGCCCTGCCGTTTCAAAAAACTTAAACAGTGTTGAAAGGGGCGTAAACCCACGCAGTGAGTGACCAATCACCTTTGCTCTCTTGACCAGCAGGTTACACGCCGTCTCCAGGTTTTCCTCCCGCCCGTTCCAGGCACTGAGCACGCCCTCCTGGATGACCCGGCTGTAGCAGAAGCTGAGGGGGAACGGCTGACCCCCCGTGCTCTTGTGCAGACGGTCCAGGACCGTGGTGGAACTTTCCAGGGTCTTGTCATTGGCCAGCATCACCTGGGGGGAAAGGTGGATGGCATGGGAGGACGGGGGACGGCCTTACAGAAGTTTGGAACATGACATAGAATGCTGGCTTGGCGCCAAATAAATAGTTCAAGAGGCAGAATGGCAAGAGAGAGAGAGACAAAGAGAGA